TCAAGTAGATCAATGAAAACCTTGAAAATTGACGTTCCAAAATGTGTTATAAGATGCATTATTTTCAAAACTTGAAATCCATTTTTTTCTCATGTCCATGCATCTTGATATCGAGATAATCAATTTGAGGATATTCGGGCATCAAAACAGTTGCTTTTAGTATAAACTTTTTTATATTTATATATATAAACACTCGTACACAATGAAACCGTTTACTTTTGATACAAGAATAGGACAATCATTATTAATTGTTGGATGTGAAATTGGGTGAGTATGATATGCTATTGATTGGGCACAAAGTCCAAAATAAAATTTCTCAAAATGTTGTGACACCTTTTAATGTATTGGATTGCACATCCAACAACTAAAAATGATTGTGATATAGAAAAATTGTTCCAAGAGTCAAGAGATGCATTTGTACACTCGCATCTATCTAAAAACAATTGAAACTATTGGTTTAAATATTCTTTTAATAAAATTATTATTTTTAATTTAAAGATTTATTCATTTTTTCGCACTCATGGATTATATATCCTTAAAATTAGATCCAAAAATCCATCACAAAAGGGAGCTCATTTCTGTGGACACACTTAGCCGCAAAAGCAGATGTGGACTGGTGGGTCCCAATCACGGAACCCCATGGCGAAGGAATGATGAACAAAGCAAAGGGTAGCAAGCCCAAACGATTTGCTGGGCTTTTGCAGTTGCGAGGCGCAGTATCAGTAGCAGTAGCAAAAGCCAAAAAAAAAAAACCCTAAACATGTACTTTTACGTACGTTGCAAAGCACGAAGAAAAAAATATAAAATGTCCCTTGGGGAATTGAAAGCAGTTGGCACCCATGATGGATGCTTTGGAGCGGCCCATGAAGGTGTAGGACATGGAGAGAGAGATGGTATCATGTGGTTTGTTCAACTATTGTTCTCTCTCCTCTCATTCCATTTCAACTCCGTTTGGGTTTTTTTTATTGGGGTTAGGATTGTTGTAGATGATTGAGAAATGTGGTGGGTGGAGAATCCATGCTTCAGACGCTACTTGAGCACATTGTTGTACCCATGCTGTGAATTGGTTGCTTACCTAATCATTGTCTATAATTTCCTATAATTCTAGGGGTTTTTTTTCTGAACAAATTGTTCGGATTGTTTATTTCCAGATCTCAATGGTCCATTGAAGACACACCAATCGCATGGACCAAGGTGGCATTTCAATAAAGAAAACTCTATAAATTGTTTAAAGTTTCACTGTAATGTCCCAATAATAATGAGAACTACAATTAAACAACAAAAACGTAAGAGGATTGTCTGTGACGAAAGTCGTTGCTTGTAAATTAAATAAGTTATTAGGACAGGTACATGTGCAAGGAGTCGAGAATGGATGGTGGTTGTGAAAGCAATTTTTATGGTGAAAGGAAACGTTGACATTGATTAGAATGACAAATCTTATGTGGATTGAACACCTTAAATACGACACGATGTGGGTCCTTGGTCACCAATGGACAAGGAAATTGAACATTTACTTTGCCTCCTACACTCACTTTACCATGTGATCAATACATTTAGGGGTAACTCCAAAATAGATTTAGATGATCCGTAGTGTCAACTTTGAATTACATTAGTTACGAAGGATAATTTGGTTCAAGAGGGAACGATTTGAAAAGACAAGTTGAAAGCTCAAAAAGACATTGATGAAAGTAACGAAAAGCGAAATGATGACTTCTAGTATAACTGAGGATAT